GCCTTGGGTGCTTTATACCAATAGAAATGTATGGCTTGTGGTCCTGGACTCTGGGAAGTCCAAGACCAACGCAGTAGCAGTTTCGTTGCCAGGTGAAGGCTCACTTCCTGGCTCATTGTAGACTGTCTTCACTGTCCTTCATGATGACAAACAGAAAGGGGCTCTCTGGGGTCTTTTTATAAGGCCACTAATCTACTCATGAAAGGCTCTTTCCTCGAGATCTGATCATTTCCCCAAAGCCTCACTTTTTAAAAAAAGGTCTATGTTTATTATATTTACTTATGTGTGCATCTGTGTGACCCATGGAGACTTGTGTACTCCAGAAGGCATGAGATCCCTGGGAGCTGAAGTTGTTATAGTGAGTTGTGAGCTGCTTAATGTGGGTACTGGAAACCCAATTCAGGTCCTCTGGAAGAGTAGCAAGCACTTTTAACCACTGAACCAGTTCTCCAGCCCCTCCTTTTTAAAAAAATATTTATTTGGGGCTGGAGATATGGCTTAGTGGGTAAGACCATTGAATGCTCTTGCAGAGGACCTGAGTTTGATTCCCAGCACCCACATACATGCATACACATAAATGAAAGTTAAATTAAAAAAAAAAAACATTTATTTGCATGGGGGAGGAAGCATGTGCCAGGACACATGTATAGAGGGCAGAGGACAATTTGTGGCATTGGCTCTCTCCTTCCACCATGATGTCAAGCTTGACAACAGGCACTTTTCCCTGCTGAGCCACCTCCCTGCCCGCCTCTGCCTCCTAAGTGTTGGGACTGCAGGTGTGTTCAATCCAGTAGTGAAGTGATGTTAATGTGCAGTTCTTTAATGACAGGTGGTGTGAGCATATTTCCTTGTTTGTTTTTTAGGGCAGCGTCTCACTGTGTAGCCTGGTCTGGCTTCAAACTCTGTATCTTCCCACCTCTGACTCCTGAGTAGAGATTACAGACACAAACCACCATATCCAGCCTGTGTTCGAGTTTGTAATTACCAATTATTGAGTCATAAGTATTGCTCCCTATGTTTTGGATAGAAATGTTTCATAAGATATATGATTTGCTGATGTTTATTTGTCCCAATTCCATGAGATTCTATCTTTCCTTTATCTTAATTAATGGTGTCTTATGAGAGTAAAAGCTTTTAAGTTTAACGATTTTTTTAAAAAGCATTTTTTTTTTTCCTTTTCTGTATTGTTTTTATTTGTATTGAAAAACTCTTGTTTAACCGGGCATGGTGGCACATGCCTTTAATCCTCGCACTGGGGAGACAGAGGAAGACTCTTAGTGAGTTCAAGGTCAGCCTGGTCTATATAGAGTTCCAGGCCAGCTGGGGCCACAGGGAGACACTGACTCAGAAACAAAACAAAACAACACCACCTCTCTGCTTAACCCAAGATCACAAAGGTTTTCTAGTATGTTTTCTAGAAATTACAGTTTTGGTTTTTTATCTATATTTTTGAACCACTTTACTCATGTTTTCCCCATGTGGATATTTTGTCCTTTACCTACTGATTGCCTTGGTGATTTGCTGAACTCACTTGGCCTTAAATGTGAAGGTCTGTTTCTGGATGCGCCTTACTGCTCCATTCACCTACACCATACTGTCACGACTTCTCTAGCTTCTTAATAACTCAGAAAGTGTAAACTAGGTCCTCTGTTTTTCAGAATGGTTTCCATTCTTCTAAGTCTTTTCGCATTTCATAGGAATTTTAGGAGCAGTTTGTTAATTTCTTCAGAATATCCTGCTGGGATTAAGTGCTTTATAAAAGGAACAGTATAATATTTTGTAAATATCACAAGCATGTTCTTTCATGCTGTTCTTTTACCATTTGGGATTTATTATTGTAAAGTCTTGGGCAAATCTGGGCTTCATTCTTTTGTATTGGATTAGTTTTGTTGTCTGGATCTTGTTAGGTTTTCTTCTTATGCCGAAGATGTTTAAATTTCCTCATTTGTTGTGTGTGTACCATGTGCCTTTCACGTTGACATCTTAGGATTTTTGTCAGTCCAGGAAAGATTTTTTTAACTGCACTGATGATGGTCGCTTTTGCTCTGTACATTTTCTTCTTCGGATGTTTCCATTATTTAAAGGCTGGTTCTTAATTTTCCTTTCTAAACTCCTATCCCTCATCATTTTAGAAGTGTTTCCTTTTCTAACTGTGCCATTTTCTTACTGATTCTTGTGATGCCAGTTTTTCTGCCCTGAATTTTTAAAAATATTTTTATTATTTTCATTTTTGTATATGAATGTATTGTCTGCATGTATGTAAGTGCACCTGTGTTGTGCAATGCCCAAAGAGGTCAGAAGAGGGCTTTGGATCCCCTGGAACTGGAGTTATGGTTGGTTGTTAGCTGCCATGAAATCGAACCCAAGTCCTCTGCAAGAGCAGCCAGTGCTCTTAGCCACTGAACCAACTCTCTAGCCCACATCATCTTTTTTTCATCACTGATTTCATTTTCTCTACTGTCATAAAATCTTCTGGTCTCTTAGAAGCTTAATTTCCTCTGTGTAACTGGATTTTACTGTAGTCTTTTCTCTTTCTGTGTGTATATATGTTCATGTGTATGTGTAGTGTATGTGTATATGCATGTGCATATTCACAATGTAGAGGCCAGAGGTCAGCACTGGGTTTCTTCTCTTCATCACTTTCCACCTTACTTTTTTGAGGCAGGGTCTCTCAGTGAACCTGGAGCTCACTGATTTGGCTAGGCTGCCCAGCCAGCCCCAGGAATCCTCCTGTCTTCACCTCATGCTCATGCTGAGATTACAGGTATGCACCACTGTACCTAGCTTGTTATGTGGGTGCTGGGGACCTGAACTTCTGTCCTCATGCTCACACAGCAAGTATTCTTACCCACTAAGCCATATTCCCAGCCTCGAGTCTCCTCTTCTTAAATCCAGCTTGTGTCTCGAGTAGAGCTATCAACCACTGCCAAAAAGTTTAGGCAGCAGGGAATGGTGATACATGCCTTTAATCCAAGCTGGTGGATCCCTTGAGTTCCAGGCCAGCCAGGCTGTTGGAAAAAGTAAACACAAAAACACATTTAGGCAAATAGCATGAATATAGTTTTTTTTTAAGTTGACCTACTTGCTGAAAATCCTGCTTTGTCATATATGCATGTGTGCTGAATACTCTGCGTATTTAATGTTGTTTACACTATTTTGTGTGTATTTGTATATGCATATATACATAGAAAAACATAGTATTTTAGTTGAGAGAGATGGAAAGAGTAATTAGATTGTTGTACTAAACAGTAAATAGGGATTCAGAATCATTAATCTTTTGTGTGAGTTTCTGTTCTGGCTGTGACCAAATACTTGGCAGAAGCAACTTAAGGAAGGGTTCATTTCAGCTCACAGTTCATGGTATGGCAGGCATGGCCACCAAGGCAGGCTCTGCCTGTGGCAGGAGGAGCTTGAGGCTTCCCACTTGATGCCAGCGAGGAACTCCTGCTGAGACTGCCATCCCTGAGGGGAACCCCTAATAACCTACAAGGGAGGTTCAACAACAGTGGCCATCACCTCTTTTTCTCCTCCTTTGTGATGAGAAGCAGCCCTTGGTGGTCAGAAGAAACTGGTATTTGGATGACAGGGTCTTTCTGTGCTGTTGTTTGCCTAGGAGCTATATGCCTGCCAGAGGGCTCAGGTGTGGGGTAGGTAACTGTCACTGTGCTGAGCTCGAATTGGTCTAAATTAACCACACATTGTTACCTGTCCGAGTTTGCTTTCAGGTGTTGTGCTAAGCACCATGGCCAGAAGGAACGTGGGTAGGAAAGGCTTTTATTTCATCTTCTATTTTCAGGTAATAGTCCATCTCGAGGCAGGAACAGTGGCAGAAACCACAGAGAAACACAGCTTGCTAGTTTGCTCCCTGGCCTCTGCTCAGCTAGCTTTCTTATACAGCCCAGGACCCTGACTAGGGATGGCACTGGGTCATGCTACAGATGGCTCGCAGACATGCCCACAGGCCAGTCTGGCTGAGGCAGTCCTTCACTTAAGACTCCCTCAGATACTTCTGGGCTATTTCAAGTGACAGCTGATGCTAACTAGGCAATCACCCAAGCCTTCTCTGTCTGAAAGTTACAGCCTTCAGACTCTAGAATTTCCAAATAGTTTTTAGAGACAGAATATAACTGTGCACACAGGTATGGTGGCATGTGTGTAGAGGTCAAAGGACAGCCTCAGGTGTTGTTCTCACCTACTTTGTTTGACATAGGGTCTCTTGCTGCTCTCTGCTGCACGTGCCAGGCCAGCTGACCAACGAGTTTCCAGGGATTCTTCTGTCTCTTTCTCCCATCTTGCCATAGCAGTAGCATTGGGGTTACAGATGTGTGCTGTATCATCCAGCTTTTATGTGGGTGCTGGGGATCCAAATTCAAACCTTCATGCTTGTGCAGCAAGCACCAGTAACAGGTTGTCCTAGTTTGTTCTTCATTGCTGTCACAAAACACTCTGACAAATACCAACTTGGAGAGGAAAGGGTTTATTCAGCTTACAACTCCCAGGTCACAGTTCATCAGGGAACCCAAGGTAGGAACTTGGGGCAGGAACCTGGAAGCAGGAGCTGGAACACAGGCCATGGAGGAATGCTGCTTACTGGCTTGCTCCCCTGGCCCCTGCTCAGCCTGCTTTCTTATGCAATACAGGACCACCTGCCCAGGGGTGGCACCACCCACAGTGGGCTGGGCCCTCCCACATCACTCATCAAGAAGATGACCCCCAGACATGGCCACAGGCCAGTCCAATAGAGGAAATTCCCCAATTGAGGTTCCTTCAACTCAGGTGTGTCAAGTTGACACTAAAGCTATCCAGCACACAGGTGTCATTAAAATAGCTGTGAGTCTTTCAATACTATTTTCATTAGCATATATTAATTGCACAAAATAATGGTTTCATTATAATTCATGCATGAACATAGTGTGCTTGGATCATGTTCAGCCCTCTGTTACCTTCACTTGTGAACACCATCCTAAAGGGTTCTTGTTGTTCCATTTGTTTTTATCCAGATGACAGAGAACACATTTTGGTCGAAGAAGATAGAAATCAGTGTTTCTGAAGCCAAAAAGCTAACTGGAAGAAATGCCATGAACATGCAGGAAATGTATACTGCTTACCTCATTGAAACAAGGTGGGTCCTGAGAATTAGGCTTGGCTTTGGGTGGAAAGCTGTTTCTGTAGACATTGTCTGGAGTACAGCAGTGTAGGACTGAGATTGAAGAAGGTGCGGTTACTTTTTTCATCCCTTCAGAGGTTTGTGTTTCTGTTCATCAGCATCAGACATTGTTTCAGAATAAAAGTATAAAAGTTTGTCTTTTAGAGTAGGTAGGAATGCTTTGATGTCTTGGGAATCAGTGTCTCATTATTTCATTCTTCTGATTTGGAAGACAGGACTAGTGATGACATCTACTTATATGCGAGGATAAAATGAAATGTTTCATGTTGAAGTTGGGCATCTGAACTGAAATAGATTTTAGTTATAGGTTACAGATAAATCCTCTTTAAACTAAACTATGATCTAAATATTCCTGTGTTTTTTCCATGAGAGCTATTTGTGTATTTTATATATTTTTATGTTGATTTTTGCATTTTATATTTTATTTTCTTTTTATTACTATGTAATTAATAGATGTAATGGTAAGCTTGTGTATGTGTTTATTACTTGTATGTAAGTAATAAATATGAAGCAGAGCATAGCAGTGCATGCCTGTGGTATCAGCATGTAGGAGGCTGAAGAGGGAGGATCCTGAGTTTGAAGGCAGCCTGGGTTACACTATGTACTATGTACTATAAAACCTTGTCTCCAAACAGTAGTAATAAAAACAAGCAATAATTCCTTGGCACAATGGTGTGTCTGTAGTTCTAGTTACACAGGAGCCTTAGGGAGGAGAATCATCCTTTGCTTCTTACTTGTCTTTTTTCTGTGCTGCTTGAAGGCTCACCTAGGGCTTCATATATACTAGGTAAGCGTTCTTTCACCGAAGCACAGTCCCAACCAGGTAGATGACTTGATCCTAGGAATCTGAGACCAGCGTGACCAGCCTAGTAAGACCCATCTCAAAAAAGAAAACAAATAGATGAGCAACTATTGTGTTGAGCATGGCAGGATAACTACTTCTCAAAGGACTGTTAAGTATGCCTTAGCTTCTGTGTCTTATGTCCTGATGTGCAAATGCACATTGTAGTTGTATGTGCATTTCTTACAGGGCAAATAAAGTTATTGTCATGCAAATAATTGGAAAACAAGGCAGTCTTGATAATGTTTAAAATTTTTCTGCCCCAAGTACTGTGGATCATACCTTTAATCTCAGCACTCAGGAGGCAGAGGCAGGTAGATCTCTGAATTCTGGGCCAGGCTGGTCTGCATGGTAAGTTCTAAGCAAGCCAGGGCTACATAGTGAGACTGTGTCTCAAGAAACGAAAGTAGCAGAAACCTTCAGTACCTTAAAACAGTGTTTCCATGCTCTTACCCTTACTTTCTCCCAAGTACAATTTAAATTTTTATGTAGCTAAACCACGGTATTGCCTACTAACTCTTTATAACCAAAAGTTAAGACTGGAGATGAGTTACTGTGAGCTTTCTTCCTTACCCTTCAGAGCTGTTTACTCTTGTGGGTGCCTCTGGTACTCAGATTCATCCAATTTGTTTGTAACCTAAATTGAGATTTGGTGATCATGGTCTTTTTCATGAAATTGTTCCCTCATTTTCCCACAATAAATGTAAAAACCCTTTTTATTTAAAGAAATGATAACCAAGGCAGGTTTTCCATTTTGTAAAATCAATTTTATACTTTGGCTTTTAGAATGTTCCTAAGACAATTCTTTCTCGTGAGTTGAAATAGGTTTTCTGTGACAGAAGGAAAGGACTTAGGCATGTGAGAGCTTTGAAATCAGATGGATCCAAGTCAAGTTTGGATGCACAGAGCTGGTGATTACAGGCGGAGCTCGTACCATGCAGCTGCGGCCCGTCTGTAAAGCAGGAGCAGTAAATCCCCATTTCCTAAGGAAGCATAAGAAAAGTTCCTGATTCAGTGACTAGTTCAGTAAACAGAGATACACATTTTGAAGGCAGTAGTATGCATTGTTTTTTAAGTAATAGAAATGTTCTTTGGTATCTTTTTAGGTCAGTTGAACACACTGATGGTCAGAGCGTCCTCACAGACTCACTGTGGAGGCGATAACAGTGAGTTCGAGTTGTTGAGTTTTAGTTTACTATCCACGTATCGTTGTGCCACCTCTTCCAGAAAAGCGGGTAAGAAGCGAAGCAGCAGGCACTGAAGAGTTCTCACCTTGAGCCTGTTCTGACTGCCTGCTTTGTTCACCCAGGCAGAATTCATGTGGCATAAACTCTCTGCCAGTAACATGGATCCAGATTTTGTGGAGAGAAGAAGGATCAGTTTAGAAAACGTTCTGCTGAGGGTCGCTTCACATTCCATCCTCCATAGAGACAAAATCTTCTATTTGTTTTTAACACAGGTATTTTTCTTTTAATTAGTCTTCTTAAAATATCATTTGAATTAGGCTTTATTAGAGTTTTTATTAATTTATAGAATGCTGATTCTTGATCTTTTGCAGCAGGTTTTTAAATGCAATTTGTGTTTGTGTTTGGTCAATTTAATGTTATTAGTCTGCCATTCTTTTAACTAAGATTTTTAAAGTTTTTATTTGTGTGTGTGTGTGTGTGTGTGTGTGTGTGTGTGTGTGTGTGTGTTGGTTGGTGTGATGTGTGATACGCATGGGAGTACACCTGCCAAGGCACATGGTGGCAATCAGGACAGTTTCATGGATCCATTCTCTCCTTCCACCTTTATGTGCATTGTGGGGATTGAACTTAGGTTGTCAGGCTTGCACAGCAAGTGCTTTTTCTAAACACTGAGGTATCTTGCCAGCCCCATAACCAAGATTTTTATTCTTACAGATACTAAGCCTTTAGTATCTAGTAGTATTACCTAAATAGAAACCTAAAATTATCTTCAGTGCTATCAAGCCAAGTTGCTAAAATCTTGGGTCTATGTTATTTCAAACTTTTGGAGTCTGTAATTCTTTAATTTTTTAAAATAATTTTTGTTTTATGTATATGAGTATTTTGCCTGCATGTATATAAATGCAGTTGTGTCATGTAATACCCATGGAGGCCAAAGGAGGGCATCACATCCCCTAGAACTGGAGTTATGAATGGTTTTTAGCTGCTATGTGGGTGCTGGAAACTGAACCTAATTCCTCTGCAAGAGCAGCCAGTGCTCTTTACCACTGAGCCATCTCTCCAGCCCATGTTTAATTTTGAAGAGAATTTTTTAACCTCTTTCTCCTATATCACTTGAATTAAGAACAAAATTATAGGAATTCAACTTATTTAATATGGACCATGAAGTATGGATTGTTTGGCTTTGTAGTAATGATCTCTAAAATTCGCTTTAATTTTTAGGAAGGTAACTGGAAGGAGGCTGTGAATGAGACTGGGTTTCAGCTCAAGGTAAGCATGTTTTTATGAAGTAATTTGCCATGTTCCTTACAGTTCCCAGCATGGTAGTGTGCACTTAATGGGGATGTGGTTTTTGGTTTTAATGAGCAAATAGTAGGAATAAGCTTTACATCTAGCATCATTGGCAAGGTTTTCAGAGAAACTGCAATTCACTTTTGATTCATGTAATTTTAGTTCTGGTTGAACTATAATGGGCAAATTTCTTAACTCTAGTAGGAAAGATTATTTTAAAGCAGTAATTTAAGCTGTGGTCTGTAGAGTTTTACATGTTTTTTTAAATTTTATTTATTATTTTTGTTTTATGTGTATGTGTGTATTGCCTGCATGTAGGTAAGTGCACCCATGTTGTGCAATGCCTGTGGAGGTCAGAAGAGGCTGTTGGATTCCCTGGGACTGGAGTTATGGACAGTTGTTAGCTGCCATGTGGGTCCTGGGATTCGAATCCGGGAATTCCGCAAGAACTGTCAATGTTCTTAACCGCTGAGCCATCTCTCCAGCCCCTCACATGTTTTTAAAATTCTATTTTGACCATTTAAATCACTTGTTCTCTGATGGCACACATTTGCTTTCACTCTCTGAGAAATGAAAGATACTTCTGAAACTCGAGCTTGGTTTTTCACATCGTTAGTGGACTCAAAGATGAATCCTTTGTCATGCTTCTGGAATATGGGGCATGGTAACTAGTTTGAAATGAGCCAGGAGCCATCTTGAAATGATGTCTGTTAGTGATATGGGCTTAGACACATTAGCATCCGTATGTGGAAATGGGATTGCTGCCTGAAAATTGAGTGGCTCAGTAGTGATGGAGTGGTACACAACGCACTCTGCTCTCCAGATGTTTCCCAAAGGACACCTCACACGCCTTGTTACAGACCTGTAAAAGGTTTTGCCTCTGGTGTATGTCAAGTAAGTGGAGCAGATAAATATAAAATAGATTTGTAAATAAAATATTAAGTACAGGTCAAATACTTTATTTGAAAATCTGAAATTTGAAGTGCTCTGATATCCTAAATCTTCAAAATTTAAAATATTTTGAGCAGTATCATTCAGGAATTTTAGAATTAGGAGTGTTTCTATATTTCAGATTTTTACATATAGGAATGCTCAATTGGCAAAGTCTGTGAAAATATTTCAAAACCGAAAAAAACTCCAAAATCCGAAACTCTTCTGATCCCAGCATTTCAATAAGAGATCTTCAACCTGTACTTAACATAAGATGATAAAAGATAAACTGCAGTGACCAGGGTGGAAAAACAAGTGTGTTCAGCAACTTAAAAAAGAGCTCGGGTTAGGTACGGTGGTACATGCCTGTAATCCCAGCTTGTGGGAGGCAGAGCAGGGGGATCAGAAGTTCAAGTTTGAGGTTAGCCTGGGCTACCTGAAATTCTATTTCAAAAAAAACCATAACCAAACCAACAAATAAATAACAACTCCTGGAGCTATTGGCAATAGGTATTTGAAATTCAGCACAAAATGGAAGACAGAATCAAGCATCCGATTCTGTTGAAACTAACACTAATTTGTCCATTGTTTTACTGGAAGATATACATGATAAAATGTTTTTGATTACAGTTCAGCACTTGATGGTGTTTAGAGGAAAAATTTGGAATTTTAGTTTAGGAATGGATTTGAAATAAAACATCTTAAAAGATTTCTGTTTTGTAATGTTGAAAAATATTTGGGGGCTTTTATCTAATCCTTAAAAGATTTTAGGGTTACCGCTTCAGAAGGGGGAATATTAGAGTAGCCAAAATCCCCATTAAAAAAATAAAGAAGTAAGAGTACACAAAGTTATCATTAAAAAAAGTGATGGGGAGATATGGGAGGAGTTGGATGGGAGGGAGTGGGCATGGATTTGATCAAAACAGCTTATATGCATTTATGAAATTCTCAATAAATTATTTAAAAAATAAGTTAAAAAAAGATTTCTGTTTTGAGAGAGTTTTCTGAGAAATATTCCAAGATATGAAAATAATTGTTTTTATTGAATTTTTGTGTATTTCATACAGACTATCTCAACCAGCCTTATTCATCTTTATACCCTATCCCCACCAGCACCCTTCCATAGCACCCCCACTGGAACCCATATGCTCTGTCATCTGTGTTACATCCTTTACTATCTTTAGGGGCTAATTTGGGAATTAAGTGAAAAATAGAGCCCCATGATACAAAGCATGCACAAACAAATCTGCCTGGAGACAGACTGAGCAGGGAAGAGAGAGACACAGAAAGGTTTAGGTGATCCTCAAAGAAAGGGTTTCCTTGAAAGGGGCAGGGGCAGGGGCAGGGACAGGGACAGGGATGTGTGTAATAAATGTATGCTTAAATTCCTAATGATTCTGGAATATTTGTCCAAATGGCAGAGGCCTCAATGAATTACTAAATTAGGGAATAAATTTAAGAAATTTCTTAGGTTTTAATTACTAATGGGGGCCTCTTGTGATACATGACACATTAACTTCTCTGTATGATACCATTTCTGGGTTTTCTAGGATCTTTTGTAGCTTCTGATTCTTGTGTGAGATTCAAGCCTTCATTTGTTGAGTTTAGATCTGCTTCTTTTTGTAAACTTTATGTGCCTTTGTGGTTTACTTATTGGGCATGAAAAACTGGTTGGTCTAGGCTATAGGTTCTCTCTTTTGATTTTATATTGGAGTGGCCTAATTGCTTTTGTCTTCAGGAGTTCCTACAGAGGCCCAAGTGCAATGAGGCTCAGAAGGTCTCAGGCTTTCTCCTAAGGTCTGGATCCCTCCAGGAAAGATGCTGCCCTCAGGAATTTGGGGGCTGGGCTGGCCTGGGAGCAGGGCCCAGGAAAGATGCTGGTCTCAGGAAACTGGTGACTTTGCCCCTCAGGGATCCAAAGGGAGGTGAGGATGACGGGAAGAGGCCCTTAGTGCTCCTAAGGACTACTGGGAGGAACTGGGTAGGTCTAGATGCAGAGGATCAGGAAACAGTGGTGGCTCTGGGCAGAGAGGTTAGTCCCAGTGTCTGGGGTGCCAAAACAAGAAATGGTCCAGTACCAAGGCTAGGAAGAGAGATGTGGTGGGGGAGCTGGGAGGGTGAAAGAGGCTGGGGGAGTCAAGGCACAGTGGGTGTGCTGGTCTTACCCAGGAGAGGTGCTGGCACCAGGACACTGGAGGCTGGTGACTAGGAAAAGTGCTGGCACTAGGACGCCCAGAGGCTGTGCAGCCCAGGGAAGTAAAGGGAGGTGAGGGCACTGGTGCTTTTAATTATCATGTGCTGTGTAGATAAGGCTTGGGTAAAAAACCAAATATTCTCAGATAAACCTTGACTAGATTTATGTTTTGTTCCTTAAACTAGTTGACTAAACTATGACCATAGAAATTTTAAGATTATGTGTATATTATTTTATGTTTGTCATCCTTTATATTTCATAAGCTCTCACATCATCATGCAGACACAGGAAGCACGAGCACATTTTTTAGTTTTTTGAGTTCTCCACACTGTTTTTCATAGAGGTTTCAGTGTTTGCAATCCCACCAGCAGTGAATGAGTACTCCCCTTTCTCCACATCATTGCCAGCATTTGATATCAATCGTTCCCTTGATCCTAGCCAGTCTGATTGTGGTAAGATGATACCTTTGGGTGGTTTTAATTTGCATTTCCCTAATTACTAACAATGTTGAACACTTTTTGAGGTTTTCTTAGCCATCTTTATTTCTTCCTTTAAGAACTCTGTTTAGATATTTAGTCCAACTTTTAATCAGATCATTTGTTTTCTTGGTTCTTTATTTTTTGAGTTCTCCATATATTCTGGATGTTAAACCTCTGTCAAACATGTCACTGGTGAAATTTTTTTCCCCAATCTGTGGGTTTCTCTTTACTTTCTTTATTGTTTCTTTTGCTGTACAAAAGCTTTTGTTTCATGAGGTCCCACTTGTTAATTCTTGACCTTAACTCCTGAGCAACTGGTGTCTGATTTAGAAAGTCCTTTCCTACACCTATATGTTGTAGGTTATTGCCAATGTTTTCTTCTAATAGTTTCAGAGTTTCCAGCTTTACATCGAGGTCTTTTACCATTTGGAGTTGGCTTTTGTGTAAGTTGACCATTTGTTGAAGATGCTGTCTTCTCTCCATTGTGTGCTCTTGGCAGCTTTGTCAAATATCAGGTGGCTGAAATTGTGTGTACTCAGGTTTGGATCTTCAGTGATGTTCCATTGATCTATGTGTCTATTTTTGTTCCAGTACCATGCTGTTTTGTAACTATAGTTCTGTAGTATACTTTGAGTTCTGGCATAGTAATCCCCCCAGTGATGCTTTTTGTACTCAGGTTGTTTCGGCTATCTGGGGCCTGGTGCTTCCATACGAAGTTAAGGTTTTTTTTTTTCTAATTCTGTGAAGTCATGGGGATTTTGATTGGGGTTGCATTGAATCTATAAATAACTTTTGGTAGAATGGTCATTTTCACAATATTAATTATTCCCAATCCATCACATTGGAAGGTCCTTCCATCTTCTGGTGTCTTCCTCAGTCTTTCTTTAGAGATTTTAAATTTTCATTGTAGAGATCTTTGATGTCCTTGGTCACATTTATTCCGAGATATCTTTTTTGATGCTATTCTGAATGGGAGGATTTCCCTGTACTCTTTCTCCAGTTGCTTGTTATTGGTATATAGAAAGGATTTTCATAGCTTAATTTTGTAACCTGCCACTTTACTGAAAGTTTAATCAGTTCTAGGAGTTTTCTGGTGGAACTTTTGGGATCTCTTAGGTATACTATCATACCGTCGGCAAAAAAGGATAATTCGACCTCTTCTTTTCCTTTACTGTCCTTCACCTGTCTTTTTGCTCTAGCAAGAGTTTCAAGCACTATATTGAAAAAGGATTGGAAATAGTGGACATCCTTGTCTGGTTCCTGATTTTAATGGGAATGCTTCCTTTTTTTTTTTTTTTCCATTAAGAATGATGTTTGCTGTAGGTTTGTTGTACATAGCTTTAATTATATTGACATATGCTCTCTCCAGTCTAATTCCCTTTAGGACTTTGATCATAAATGCATGCTGAATTTTGTCCAAGACCTTTTTTCCATCTATTGAGAAGACCATGCAATTTTTGTCTTTGAGTCCATTTATATGATTTATGGTATTTATTGACTTATACATACTGAACTATCCCTGAACCTCTGGAATAAAGCCCATTTGATCATGGTGGATGATCTTCTTGATGTGTGTCTGTACGCAGTTCACAAGTACTTTGTTGAGAATTTTTGCATCTACGTTCATTAAGGACATGGGTGTATAGATTTCTTTTTTGGTTGTGTCTTTACCTGGTTTTGGTATTAGAGTGATGCTGGCTTCATAAAAGGAATTCGGGAGTACTCCCTCTGTTTCTATCATTTTGAATAATTTAAGTAGTATTGGTTGGAGATCTTTAAATGTCTGGTAGAATTCTGCTGTAAATCCATCTGGGCCTGGGCTTTTTTTAGTTGGGAGGTTTTATATGTCCTGTAGTGTTTTTTTTTTTTTTTTATGAATTTGGGTGCTGCAGAATTTGGTACATAGATGTTCATGACTGTAATATCTTCTTGGTTAATTGTTCCTTTGATTAGAATGAAGTGACCCTCTTTTTCTCTTCTGATTAGTTTTGTTTGAATTCTGTTTTGTCAGATATTAGAATTGCAACTACTTGTTTCTTAGTGCCATTCACATGGAATATTCTTTTCCATCCTTTCACCTTAAGGTATTGCCTGTCCTTGAAGGTGAGATGGGTTTCTTGCAGACAACAAAAAGATGAATTTTGTTTCTTAATCCATTCAACTATCATGTGACTTTTGACTGGGGAGTTCAGTCCAATGATATTTAAGGTTATTATTGAAAGATGTGTATTGGTTGCCATCATTTTGATTATTGTTTGCATTCATAGCCTAATTTTGTGTGTCCACAATTATACCTTCATTTAAATTCTTTCTGTTGTCCTTGGGTATAGTTGTTCCTTTCTCTGTTCTTTGTATTGCTTCAAGTATTCCTTGAAGGGAGGGTTTTGTGGACATGTATTCTTTCAGCCTATTCCTGTCCTGGAAAATTTTTCTTTCCCCCTCAACTGTAATAGACAGTTTTGCTGGGTAGAGTATTCTGGGTTGGCATCTGTCCTAGTTTGTTTCTTCATTGCTGTGATAAAACACTCTGACCACTACCAACTTGGGGAGGAAAAGGTTTGTTTATCTTACATCTCCTGGGTCACAGTTCATCAGGGAGCCCTAGGTAGGAACTCAGGGCAGGAACCTGGAGGCAGGAGCTGGAGCACAGGCCATGGAGGAACACTGCTTACTGGCTTGCTCCCTGGCCCCTGCTCAACCTGCTTTCTTATGCAGCACGGGCCCATCTGCCCAGGGGTGGCACCACCCACAGTGGACTGGGCCCTCCGACATCACTCATCAAGAAGATGCCCTTCAGACATGACCACAGGCCAGTCCAATAGAGGCAATTCCCCAATTGAGGCTCCCTCAACCCAGGTGTGTCAAGTTGATACTAAAGCTATCCAGCACAGCATCTATGGTCATTTACAACAGGAAATACTTTTGTTGAGGCTCTTCTGGCTTTCTTAGTTTGCATTGATAAGTTAGCTGTAATTCTGATGTGTTTTCCTTTATTTGTGAGTTGTTTGCTTTGCAGTTTTCAGTATTCTCTGTTCATTTAGTGTTTTTACATTTAGTGTTTTTACTATGATGTGCTATGGGGAGTTTCTTTTCTGGTCTTGTCTATTTGGCGTATTATGTGCTTCTTATATTTGTATGGGAATGTCTTTCCTTAATTTGGGAAACTCTCTTCTACAATCCTGTTAAAATCTGGTCAGTACTGTTAACCTGAAATTCTTCTCCTTCCTCTATGCCTATGATACATAGATTTGGGATTTTCATGGTGTCTAACATTTCCTGCATATTCCATTTCTATTTTTTTTTAAATCTTTCATAATCTTTGCTTGAGTGGTGCAGTTCTTCAACTTTATCCTCCAGTGTTGATAGTCTGTTTTCTATTTCATTCATTCTAGCAGTGAGTCTTTTTCTTGTTGTTTCAAATTGGCTTATTGAGTTTTTGACTTCCTTCTTCATTTCAGTCTGAGATTTCTTCAATGTTTCTCTTTTGTGAATTCACTCAGAAGTTTATCCCTATCTTCTTTGAGTTGTTTGATTTGCATGTTCTTCAATTTCATTCAATTCCTTGATCATGTTTATGACTGTTCTTTTACAGTCTATGTCCTAGGTTATCTCTAGGGGATTCTCCTTGTAGAACTGTTCTCCAGGGCTGGTGGAGTTTGGTGGGAACATACTGTTTTGGTTTTCCATATTATTTTTCTGTTGTGATTTTGGCATGTTGATTTTTTTTGTTGTTTGTGATTCTGGTGTGAAACTCAAGCCTTCTTTTGTGGAATTGAAGTTTTCTTCTCTTTGTATTATTGGTGTGCGTTGGTTGTTTACTTATTGGTTACATAGTGTTGGTTGGTCTAGGTTTCAGGTTCTCTCAGATTTTATTTTGGAGAAAACTGAGGGCTTCAGATCAGCTATTCAGGAGCTCCCACAGAGGTCCAAGTCAGGCTTCAGTCAGGTACACTGAAGCTTCCTTCTAATATTTGGACCCCTACTACCAGGTACTCAGAACACAATTTGGGAAGTTTGCGAAGGGGAAGCCTGATTTTGGCACTCTCAGGCAGCTGCTGGGTTCTCAGCCCCTACGCCAGGCAGAGGCCAGATTAGGCACTCTCAGGCCATCTGCTAAGGTCTCAGCCCTACCCTAGTGTAGACAGAGAGGTCTACCCCTGGGGCTGTAGTAGGGGACCTCACATAATCCCAGTAAGGGGGTTGGAGCTCTATTTGGGGAAGCTTTCAGGAAGTTCCCCACCACATGGAGGTCAGTTCCAGGCACTCTCAGGCTATCTGCTGAGGTCTCAGCCCCTACACCAAGCAGAGGCCAGATCAGGCACTCTCAGGTGTTCTACTGAATTCTCAGCCCCTCACTAGGGGGAGGTCGGATCAGGCACTCTGAGCTGTATCATGTTTTCAATGAATCAGATTAAATACAGTCAATATCTGTCGGGAGCCATGTTTGACATAAGCATTGGAAATTAGAAGAGTGCCACTTTAAGAGCTTCTGAGCTCTCTGCTTCAGCGGTCAGAGCTGACAAGCTGTACCTGTATGATAAATCAGGTCTTCTAGAAAGTTAGTTTCAGTTCAGTCTGTGGGCACTGGAAGATGCAGCTACATGCTGTATCCATAGTAACTGGTTTGTTTCTGTTAGAAAAATCACCTTGGCACCCCAACTCTGAGTTATACAAAAAGGACCTGAGAGAACCCCAGAAAGAGTTCTTTCTGAAGATCACTCCCCAACCTGTACCTGCCTTCCTTTTAATAAATTCCTCGTATAACTTCAGACTTTTGTCTGAGTTTCCTTCTTGTTGAAGACCCAAGCCTGGGGGGCTTGGGGGGCATTCGACAAATATCAATGAAAATATTTTAGTCTTTCTTTTTCTCATATGTTTTCTGAAATATTCACACTAAATGAATTAAACATATATATAGTTATCATAATTACTAAAAATGCTTTGTTTTATTTCCTTTTAGTCAAGAGCACAAACTAGAAGCACTTTGGAACATAGTCAGAGCACACCTGGCCCAAAACCATGTGCTGCAGCACCTGCACTTGAGTGTGCTGCTGGAAGTCTTCATACATATTACCGTGTCAGCAGAAGGCTTGCTCATTCAGAAACATTGGGAACCATGTCAAGGTCACAGAAGTTGGATGAGCATGTGGAGATCTGCATAGAAATAGTTATCCTATAAATTTTGGGGGGGAAGGTTAAAATTTTGGACATAATACTTGCTTTTTATTAGGAGAAATATTGTATTGTTTAGTTAACTTATTTATACATTATTCTCACAATTGTGTGCTAATAAAAAAGAAACAAATTCTATAAATTTAATTTTCTACAGCTTTTGTTATCAAAAAATAGCCTTTTCTTGAGTCAATGAATGTAACTATTCTGCTGCATTTAACATTCTTTAAAGATTTCAAGGATATCAGAAATGAGTTCCAATTACCACAAGGAAACCGTCGAAAAGCATTGGCCTAATTCTAGCTGATTTTCAAAGATTTCCCGCCTCATCTGAAGTTTGCCAGCATACGACTTCATCTCCTGCACAAGCTTATAGTTTAAAGAATCTGAGATGAGCAGATATAAAAAATCAATAACCTTGAAAACCCAAGATAAAAATACATCCTCATTCCTGATTTACTTACCACGAGTTGATTTCAGTTTTTTTCACATTTAGAATCTTGCTGCTCCTTGTTCATTGAAATTGCTTTCCTTCTGCAAATATTTAATTCCAAAATGCAGTTAATATATGTTTCTCAACATTTTTCCCCTTGGATGATAGGTGGATATCATGGGAGTGCTATCAAAAGGCCTTTAAGCAGCAACTTTATGAAAATATGAACTACGTCTTTCTGCCCACAGACTCAAACACAATCCCAAAGTATCCTCATGATCTCTGGAGTGGTAATAGGAATCTCCCCATCCAAACACATGACTGGTGTTTTAATGGTATCCATTTCTCCTTATTGGAAATGCTTACACTTCACACAGTGCATCACTCGCAGAATAAGGAGGAAAGCACCCATCCTTCTCCCCTCCCAGCTCTTTGCATATACAGATCCAATCCCTCTCAATGTTTTGATCACATTTTAATTATAATACTTGTACAGAGAGAGCGCGAGAGAGACACATTTAGACAGATAGATGGAAACACACAGACACATGCAAATCCTGAATCTACAGAGTCTCTTTTTACCTGAGCTGGAACTCATTATTTAAATCGTAGTGGGTTTTTATCCACTGAACTTAGATCAACATTGCGTGTGCATGGACACTGACACACACACACAGAAACACACAAAACCAGGGATCATTTTTTTAAATAATCAGGTCAAATCCAGTCAATATTGATGAAAATATTTTAAGTCTTTTTTCTCATATGGGTTTCCTGAATTATTGACACTAAAATGAATCAAACATATGTTTGGTTATCAAACTTAATTAAAATGATTCCTGTTATTTTTCTTTAGTCAAGAGCGTGAACTGGAAGCTCTTTGCAACCTGGTCAGAGCACACCTGCCCCAAAACCATGCACTGGAGCACCTGTACCTGAGTGTGCAGCTAGAAGTCTTTGTGAATGTTGCCCCAGAGGAAAAAAATCTTGGTCAATCAGAAATTTTGGGAGACACTTCAATGTCACAGACCTTGGATGAGATTCTGGAGAGCTGCCTGGAAACAGTTCATTATCCTATAATTCTTTTGGGGGAATAAGCTTAAGATTTTGGACATAAACTTGCTTTCCATTGGGTGAAATACTGTTAATTTATTCATATGAGTTATTCTCACAGTTGTGCATTGATAACAAAACAAATTTTATAAATTTTTAAGTCCCTAGAGCTTTTACTATAAAAAAATAGCCTTTTCTTCAGTCAAGGAACATGACACTTTTGCTGCATTTAACATTCTTAAGACTACAAGGATATCAGAAAATGAGTCTTATCTGCAGTCACTACAGGAAAACCTTCGAAAAGCATTGGCTTAGCTTCTAGCTGATTTTCAAAGATTTCCTCCCTCACTGGAAGTTTGCCATCATGACTTCTCATGCACAAGCATATAGTTTAAAGGAATCTGAGATGATTTTATTTGCTTATGGTTCCAAAGCCCATCATGGCAGGGAGGCATAGCCCAGAGGCGGGCAAGGCAGAAAGTTCAGTGCTCCAGAAAGCAGAGATCACAAGCTCAAAGTAATGGGACAAGTCTCTGAACTCTTAAAGGTGCTGTGACATGCTTCTTCCATCTAGGTCACATCCCCTAAAGGTCCCATAACCCTCTTCCCAAAGTGCCACATCTTGGCACATATTCAGGAATTTGAGTTAGAGTTGAATTCTCAGTTGTTTAGTCATACAGGGCTTATTATCCATGGAAACTATTTCAACAATGCACACACACACACCACACACAAACATACAGATAGAAACATACATATCTAGGGATCAATTTTTAATAATTCAGTTCAAATACAGTCAATATTAAAGTATTTCAAGTCTATCTTTTCTCATATGTATGTTTTCTGAATGATTCATATGAAAGGAATCAAGCATATGTATAGTTATGATAAATTAAAGAGCACAAACTGGAAGCCCTTTGGAAACTGACCAAAACAGATCAGCCCTGAATTTCAATGCTCCAAGACCTGTACCTGACCGTGTTGCTGCTGCTGCCTGTGCAGGAAGTCCTCCTTATAATCAGGGACCTGCACACCCGGGACGAGTGTGGCGCCCAAGTGGTCTTTATGATCAAGGAAGTAACCCCAGATTGGTGTTTCATTTCTCTTTACTATGCCCATTATAGACAACGGGGATTTAGAAAGCCTTATTCAGGAGCATGGGCACTTTACCAGTGACCACACCACTGAAGAAAATCTCTCCCTTCACCAGCAACCCTTAACTGTCCATAGATTTTAAGAAGGGCAGGTTCTCACTCCGGCTATGCGCATGCGCATTAGCACCTGCAGTGACAGACTTTCCCATCACAATCTTAGGTCTATGCAAGCACGCCTCTGCACCTGTCCGAGCACGGGCTTGGGATAGAGGCAGATTCCCAGGGCCAGAAGGATGCCTTGCTCACAGGGCTCAGGGAAGGGAGGGTCTTTTTGTCACTTCACCCAAGATGCCCAACGTGTCACTTCAGGCTCCTAGGTATCTGGGACCTGCATTCCCGGGAAGAGTGTGGCACCCAAGTGATCAGAGAAATAACCCAAGGTTGGTGTTTCATTTCTCTTTATGATGCTCCTTATAGACTGTGGGGATTTAGAAAACCTTATTCCAGGAGCATGGACAATTTAGCAGTGACCCCACACCACTGAAGAAATGTCTCTTCCTTCCCCAGCAACCCTTAACTATCTATAGATTCTAAGGAGGACAGGTTCTCATTTGAGGGAAAATATGCTCCAGAGTGTACTGTTGACTGCTGGGGATCTGCGCATGCATATTGTGCACCAGCAGTGACAGACCATCCCATCACTATCTTAGGTCTGTGCAAGCATGCCTCTGCACCCTTCCAGGCACAGGCCTCGGAGGTAGGCAGGTTCCCAGGGCCTGAAGGATGCCTTCCCCACAGCGCTGAGTGAAGGGAGCGTCTAGTTGATGCTTCACCTACAATACCCAACCTGTCAGTGCAGGCTCCTAGGTACTTGGGACCTGCATTCATGGGAAGAGTGTGGCATCCAAATTGTTCTTATGATCAGGGAAACAACCCAAGATTGGTGTGTCGTATGGCTTTATGATGCTCCTTTCAGACCATGGGATTTAGAGACCCCCAATTCCAGGAACATGGGCAATTTATCAATGTCTACACCACTGAAGAAATGTCTCTGACTCCCCCAGAAACCTTTAACTGTCTATAGAGTCTAAGGAGGGCAGGGTCTCATTTGATGAAAAGGGTGCTACAGAGGGTTTTTTTTTTCTTTTTCTTTTCCTTTTTTTGGACTGCTGGGGCTCTGCGCATGCACACTGAGCACTGTCAGTGCCAGACAATCCCATCACCACCTTAGGTCTGTGCAAGCACATCTCTGCACCTGGCAGGGCATGGGTCTGGGAGGGAGCCAGATTCCCAGGGCCAGAAGGATGCCTTCCTCACAGCGCTGTGGGAAGGGACAGTCTCATTGTCACTTCACCTAAGATGCCCAACTTGTCACTGCAGGCTCCTAGGTGTGTGGGACCTGCATTTCTAGGAAGAGTGTGGCACCCTAGTGGTCTTTATAATCAGTAAAAAAAACCTCAAGGGTGGTGTTTCGTTTCTCTTTATGATGCTCCTTAAAGACCATGTGATTTAGAAAACCATATTCCAGGAGCATGGCCATTTTCCATCACTAATCCATCACTATCTTAGGCCTGGTCAAGCAGGCCTCTGCATGCGACGGGGCACGGGCAGGGCTTGTTTGTGTTTGCCAGCAGTGCTTGGTGATAAGGTTCTCCTAATAGTCTCAGCATTGACACAAACTGAACCAGTACGGAACTTGCTCTAGTTTTGGCTACTATTGTGGATGGCAGGCGTTAGATAACATATTATAAGTGTTTATTCTGGGCTTGGGAGGGGTTATGTTGGCATGGTTTCTTATATTGTGTGTTGGAAGCGGGTAAGTGTTGGTGGCACAAATGGGGACCATGAGACAGATAACAGCGAGCTTAGCAGCAGATGTGCTGAATATCTTCAGCAATAAAGAAAGGACCCCCTTGGGCTTCTGTGATGGCCTAAATAAGCCCTTCATGGGCTTAGGAGAAAAGGAGGGGCTGTGGGTCACCCAAATACCACACCTATTCTTTACCTCTCCAAAAAATCCACCTGGCTGCAATCAGGGATGATACAGATGCAGTGAAGAAGTTGGTTGAATGGGGCAAATTTGAAATGATGAGATCAGATTGGAAGGCAGGTGATGGTGTACATATGTGAGAGAACAGCTGGGGGCTTGGGAGGGAGGCAGATTCCTGGGGCCAGAAGGATGCTTTGTCCACAGTGCTGAAGGAAGGGAGAGTCTGGTTGTCACTTCACCTACGATGCACAACCTGTCACTGCAAGCTCCTAGGTAATTGGGACCTGCATGCCCAGGACAAGTGGGGCGCCCAAGTGGTCTTTATGATCAGGGAAGTAAAACAAGATTGATGTTTTGTATAGATTTATGATGCTCCTTACAGGCCACCGGGATTTAGAAAACCATATTCCAGGAGCATGGGCACTTTAGCAGTGATCACACCACTGAAGAACTGTCTCTCTGCCCCCCAGCAACCCTTAATTGTGTATAGATTCTAAGGAGGGCAGGGTTTTATTTGAGGGACAGTGCGCTCCAAAGGTTTTTTTTTTTGTT